TTTTCCTTTGGGCCCCGGCTTCCCCCCCAAAGCCCCAAGCCCGGCCAAAGGCAAATTTTGGGGTGGGCCCCCCCAAAAGGGGATGGGGGGGCCCGCGCCCCTCTTTTGCCGGCAAGGGGCGCCCAGTTTCGGGCGCCTCCCGCATTGGGTGGGGAAAATATACACTGCCGACACCTCCGAGCTCGAGGAAGACGAGGCAGTTTTCAGCTCCCACACCGGGCCCCCCCCCCCCCCTCCCCCTTCCCCCCACCTCCAGCCCTTCCAACCGGCCTCCCCCTCCCCCCCTCGCCCCTCGCCCGCCAGGCGCCTTCCTCTGGTGGTCCTTCCCAATGTGGGTCCCTTGCGCGGTGAGGGCGTAGCCGAGATGCGGACGAGATAGCCGAGATGCGGACGAGATAGCCGAGATGCGGACGAGATAGCCGAGATGCGGACGAGATAGCCGAGATGCGGACGAGATAGCCGAGATGCGGACGAGATAGCCGAGATGCGGGACCGCCCCTCCTTCCGCCTCGCCGCCTCCGCGGCACTAGCGCCGCGCTGAGCCGCCGCGCCCCGCCTCCGCCTGGTCTTCCCAGGCGCTCCTCTTTGCGCTCCTCTTCTACTACCTTGCGAAGACGATGGAGGCGCGCGACCGCGGCAGCAGCAAGACGCGCGCGCAGTGGGCCATCCGCCTCTTCCTCTCCTCCATCATCTTCTTCATGGCGGTGACCTGGTGCGCCGCCTCGGTCGCGGGCGCAGGCCTCGGCGTCGCGCGGACGGTCGAATTTGCGGCGCAGCACGACTGACGGCGGGCGAGTAGTCAAGGAAGGGGGGCTCGTCCATGCGTTAGGTCGAGTTTGCGATGCTGCTCTTCATCGTCGTGACGACGGCTGTGGTGGGCAACACGGTCGGCTGGGGCAGGGTCGGCAAGACGGCGCGCGCCTCCGCCGCTTGCGCCGCCCCCACTCCCCTCCACCGCCGCCGCGCGCCACCCGCCGCGTGCCTCTGGCTGGTGCAGGCGCAGAGCCTGCCCATCTACCGCAAGCTCGCCTCGTACTCCGAGGGCTTCTGGGACTACGTCAAGGCCTTCGCGCTCTGGGGCTTGGGCTGGCTCGCCATCCCAACCTTCCTCGCCCTCTCCGCCGCCAACCAAGCCGCGCGAAAGGCTCTCCCCTTCACGCTGCCGCCCGACGCTCCGGGCCTCCTGACGGCGCACGGCGCGCAGCTCTGGGCGCGGCTGCGCACGTGGCACTGGGCGTCGGTCCGCTCGACAGCAGGGCAGTGCGGTCGAGGGCGTGGGCAGCGCGCCCTCACAGCGGCCGCCGCCATGAGCAGGTGATCTCAAAGACGACATTCTGGTCCCTCCTGTACCTCATCCTCCAAGTCATCGTGATGCAGGCCCGAGAGTGACCGAGAGTGACCGAGGGTGACCGAGAGTGACCGAGGGTGACCGAGAGTGACCGAGGGTGACCGAGAGTGACCGAGGGTGACCGAGAGTGACCGAGGGTGACCGAGAGTGACCGAGGGTGACCGAGATTGCCCGAGATAGCTTCGGCCTCAGCGTCGGCCTCAGCGTGAGAAGCGGGATGCGGGCCGTCGGCTCCCCCAGAGGTCGAAGAGCGCCCCCTCACGCCGCCTGCCGTCTCACGCCACGCTGCCGTCCTCAGCTCGTCGTCGTCTTCTTCGCCTTCCTCAACGAGGCGCTCAGCGACTTCCACACCGGCGTCGTCTGCGCCATCTTTGCTGGCGCGCTGACCTCTCCCACCCCCCTCCCGCTCGCCGCCGCGCGCACCTCTCCCTTGGCATTCGCCCCACCCCCCAACGAGCGGCCCCGTGCCAGGCGTCGGGCTCCTCATGTTCATGATCCCGATCATTCCCGGCGTGCCCGTCTACATCGCGTGCGGCGCTGTCATCCCGGCATCGACGATGTCGCAGGCGGGCCTCGGCCAACTCTCTCTCTCCGCCCCCTCTCGGCTCCCCCTCTCGGCTCCACCTCACCCGGGGATGACGGTGCCGGCAGGCGAACCCAGACTGGTCGGACGACATGGAGCCGGGGGACGAGGTGCCGAAGGAGTTCTGGGTCGGCCTCGTCTACGCCACGCTCGTCGGCTTCGCACTCAAGCTCACCGCGGTCGCGCTCGAGCAGGAGCTCATCGGCCGCCAGTTCGGCAACTACGTCGCCGTCCGCTCCTTCATCCGCATCAACTCGCTCGAGATGCGCGCGACGCGCCGCATCCTGCGCCGGCCCGGCATCAACACGGCAAAGTGCGCCATCCTCGTCGGCGGGCCCGACTGGCCGACCTCGGTCACCACCGGCATCCTCAAGCTCAACCTGCTGCAGATGCTGCTGGGCACCACCCCCATCCTCCCCCTCATCGCCGCCTCCACCGCCGCGGGCGGGATGCAGCTGCTCAAGACGAAGGGCGACCTGTACGACTCGATCACCGTCATCGTCACCTTCCTCTCCTTCCTCGCGCAGACGGCCTCCACCCTGCTCGCAATGTACTTCATCGAGCGCACCTCGACGCAGTACGCCGCCGAGCTCGCCGCCGAGCCTCCCGACGAAGAGGTCCTCGCCCACGACGAGCGGCAGGGGACGCCCCCCCCCCCCCCTCTCCCCTCGCCCGCCGCGCGAAGACGCCTCCACGACACCCCCCCCTGTCCGCAGGCTGCCTTCTCAAAGGCGCAGCGCGACGGCACCAACTGGTCCTCCGCCGGCGTGCCGCTGTGGCCAAAGGTGACGATTATCACCTCGGCGCTGATGCTCGCCGGTGCGTGCTACCTCTCGGTGGTGGCCACCTGCTTTGAGCCCTTCTCCGTCTCGCAGCGCATCTCGGACCTCCCGGGCGGCACTGTGTTCGGCCTCGTCCGGCCGATGGGCTGGGTGGTGATCGGGCTCTTTGTCGGCGGGTGGGTGCTGCGCTACATCTACCGGCGGTGGGCGGTGGCGCGCGCGCGGAGCTGGCTGCGTGCGAGCACGGTCGACGCATCCATAAGCGACGCCTCGCCGCCGCCGCCGCCGCCGCCGCTCGAGCTCGAGGTGGTGCAGGGGCCGCGCTGCGACGTGTACGTGAGCGACTCCCCGGTCGGGTCGCCGACCAGCTCGCCGTCGCCAGCCGCTTCTCGGGCGGCGCCCCCCGACATCAGCGTAAGTCGGGACGTGAGCCGCGTGTGAGCGCGCCAACTGCTGTTGGCGCAGTACGTTTGTCTAACCCGCGTCGACGACCCATCTCCCATGCCATGTACAGCTCGGTTCCCGTGTGCGAGAGATACAAGAGTGTGTGGCTCCCCCAGAGCGCAGAGGTCCCACGCTCCACGACCAGGCAGCAAGCCGTCCGTTGTGCATTGAGCGGCCGGGCCTTTGTGGAGCTCTGTGGTACACCCAAAACACAATGTACAACCTTTGAGCGCTTTCCGCTTTCTTTGTGCGGCACCATGCAGCATGCTTATTGCTTTGACCTTTGTGGTTTGTGGGTATTTCGTATTTGTGGATTGCACTTTGCAGCGCGGGTGCGCGGAGGAGTGGGGTGGGCCCCGAGTGCGCGTACAAGTATATGTTTTGTTCAGAGTTTGTCCGTCGTCGCTGGGTGCTACTAACACATCTGTCTCACAGTGTCACACGCACACCGGGCGCCACCGGCCCCGCACCGGCAACCGGCAACCCCGCAACCGCCACATGCCGGGCCACGGTGCACGGACCCGCCAGCGCAACCCCGGACGACGTCCCACAAGCACACAGCATGCCTTCTGTGCATGCACATAGCGCGCGCCGCCCCGCAACGAGACGCAGGCAGCGGGCGAGGCGAGATGCGCTCCAGGCGCCGGCACTACTCCTCGTCGAATGCCTCATCGTCGTCGCAGTCGAACACCGACACCCGCGACTGCGCGCGTCGCTGCAGCAATGCCTTGGCCAGCATGCCCGCGATGTGGTCCGTGCCGGTGTTGCCCATCGCTGGTTCCGTCGCCCAGCGCTTCAGCTCTTTCTTGCGCAGCGCTTTGCCAAGCGTCGCGCCGTCGATGGACGACTGGCGTCGCACCTTGTGCAGCTTCGCCTCGCGGTCGAAGCTGAGGATCGCGCCTTGGAGCGCCGACGACATCTTTGAGCCTTTGATCGACGGCTCGTCCGCCGCCGCGCCACCGCTTCCGCCGGCGGGACCGTCGAGGAAGAGGGCTGAGCGGCGGCGGATCGACTGCCGCCGGATCGACTGCCGCCGCGAGTCGGGCTGCGGTGGCGGAGGGGCTGCCACCAGTGGAGGTGGGGCGAGCCGCGGCGGCGGCGACGGGGAGAGTGTTCCCGCCGAGGCTGCTGGGGCAGCCGCTTCGTCGACGACGCCGTCAGCGGGCGCAGTCCCGTCGGAGCAGCGGGGGAGGCCTATGGTGCGCCCAGGCGTCAGGTCTCTCCGCGCGAGGCGACGGTTTGCGAGCGGCTTCTGTGGGGGCGGCACCCGTCCGCCGCTTCCGGCGGCGGCCCGAGCAAGTGATCGAGGAGGGGAGGGAGGAGACGGCGTCGCTTGCCTCCCCGAGGGCGGCGAGCTCGAGGAGCGAGGGACGCTCCACCGCCGCCGGCGAGTTGAGCGGCGCATTCTCGTCCGCGTGGGGCTCCAGCGGCGACGGCAGCGGCGGCGGCGACGCGGCCTTTGGCGACGCGGCTGGCGACGGCTCGGCTGGCGGCGATGCGGCTGACGGCGACGCGGCTGGCGGCGAGGAAGGGGGCGGCGGCGTGGGTCCGTCTTGCCGCGGCGCGGCGGGAGGGGCGCCGGGCGCGTCGGGCAGCGACGGGCGGAGCCACGGGACGTCGTACGCCGGTACCCACGCCTCAGTCCCATCCTTGAAGACCCACGACTCTTGGTGCAGCGCGCCTAGTCGCGAGCAAGAGGGGTCAGCACACAACACGAGGGCGGCGAGGCCGCGCGGCCCGACTGCGCGCGCCCTGGACGGCCGCCGCGGCGAGCGCGTCGGGGGCGACCGGACCGACGGGCTGCTCGCCGCAGTCGACGTAGAACCAGTCGCCGTCTGGCCGCGCCGCCTCCTCGAGCACCTGCGCGCGCTCGACGGGGGGGTGGGAGACCGTCGCGCTGCCAGCCCGTCGGGCGCGGCTCGGCCTCCGGGGCGTGCTCGCGCCTGCTGTGTCTCCTCGGCGGACGCGTCGAGCGCCTCCTGCGCGTCCTTCACCTGTTCGCGCAACAGGCTCGCGGTTGTCAGGGCTGCAGCCGCGGCTGCCCGCACTTCCTCCCGGTGGCGCAAGTCGCCTCTTGCTCCGTCATGCCGACGCCGCCGCTCGACGCCTTGAGCAGCTCGTTGATGTCCTCGAGGATGGTCGCGTCGAAGCGCTTGATCTCCTCGAGCACCTCCTGGGCATAGCCCGCGCCACTCCCTCCCGCAGCTGCAGCCGACTCGCCTTCGCCCTCCCCGCCGGCGACCGACTCGAGAGGAGGGCGGCTGCGGCCGAGGCTGCTGCGGCCGAGGCTGCTGCGGCCGAGGGGGGCGCCGAAGCGGCGTGGCGCGGGCGAGCGGCCGGTCGGGGAGCAGAGGCGCACGCTCGGCGAGATGCCTACGCGCACGGCGGCAAGAGCTTTAGCCGGCCGGCGGCCCTCGAGACCCGCACCCTCGAGATCGGGCAGAGTGCCCAGAGCGCGGGGCGTGCCTAGCGCGGGCTCGACCGCCACCGCTGCCGCCGTGCCCTGCGCACCCCCTCCGCCGCCCCACCCAGCCTCCTCCGCGCCGTCCTCGTCGCCGACGATGAGCGAGGGCGGCGGTGGCGCAGCCGGCCCAGCCGGCGATGCAGCCGGCCCATCCGGCGATGCTGCCGGTCCAGGGTCGCTAGAGGGAGCGGCGGTGGCGGAATCGGCAACGGCGGCGGCGGGAGCGCGCGGAGTGGTCGCAGCAGCCGACGGCGACGGCGCCGCTCCGCCAAAGAGGCTTCGCGTCACAGGCGCCAGCCATCCCCAGAAGCCGCCGCCCGCGTCGCTGGCGTCCGCCGCTCGCGCGAGGGCGACGGCGGCGGCGGGCAGCGTGAGCACGTCCGCCTAGAGACGCGGCGTCGGACGTGGGTGAGAGGGAGGCCTGGCCGCGGGCGGCGGCGTCCGCGTGTCTGCCGCGGCGGAGCACGAGGGGGCGGCGGCGGCGGCGAAGTGGCAGATGTCGGCCGGGACAGAGAGCGCGGCGGCGGAGGCGGCGACCGAGGCGGTCTCGGTGGGGGTGAGGAGGTGGTTGGCGGCGGCGAGGGAGGAGAAGGCGGCGAGGGAGGAGTGCACCTGCTCGCGGCCGCCTCTGTGAGCGGGGGACGGGGGGAGGGGCAGGCGGAGGGCGGGGCGCAGGAGGGGCGCGGGAGGGGCGCGGCTCACTGCGCCGACGCGCCGCTCCTCGAGCTCCTGCAGCTGCGCGAGGGCCTGCGGCTGCACCTCGGCCTCGAAGAGGCGGGTGACGCCGTTGGCCGCATCCACCGCATCCCGCGCCACGCGCGCGCGGCTGCGCAGCGACTCGGCCGTCGACGACGCCGCCGCCTCCTTCGCCGCCGCGGCGAGCTCTCCGCCGCTCGCGCCGGGCTGGCCGTGCGCTCGGTGGAAGCTCTCGAGGTCGCGCGAGAGGCCGGTCGCCTCGTCGGCGGCGGCGGCGCGGTGGCGGCGGACTTGCGCGAGCCGCCTGTCCAGCGGGCGGAGCAGCCCCTCCCGCTCGGCCACCGCCGCCGCCGTCGCCTCCTTGAGCGGTGCGACGATCAGCCGCTTCATCTCGTCGGCCGCCGCGCGGTGCGTGCCCGCCTGCGCCGCCAGCGCCGAGTGGACGGCGTGCCACGCCTCGTTCGCCGAGGCGTAGGGCAGGTCGCGGCGCAGCGGCCGCGCGGCCGACTTCAGGCCCCACCCGCCGCCGGCGTTGCCAGCCTCGCCGGGCCTCGCGAGCCGCTCGCGCAGCCGAGAGAGCGCGCGCGCGTGCTCGTCGCACAGGCGCGCCCACTCGCGGAAGAGCTCGAGCACGTCCCCGTCGTACTCGGACGCCGCCGCCGCGCGCGCTACGCTGTACCCGTGCGGCAGCCTCTCCTGCCACACCCTCGCCGAAAAGCCGTCGGCCGCGTCCGGCTGGGATCCGCAGCGCGGGCCAGGCGGGCTGACGTCGGGCTGGAACGGCACCGCGCCGTCGAGCTCCCAGGTCGTCGAGGAGGGGGCGGAGAGGACAAGAGAGAGCGCGCTTTCGGTCATGGCCGGGCCTGTTTGTTTGAACCAGGTTGGTTGTGAAGAGCTGGGGCGCGCCACCCAAGAGAGAGAGAGAGAGAGAGAGGTCGTGGAAGCTGTGATCCCAAGGGGGGGAGCTGATCCCACTCGTAACCAACTCTCAGGGGCAGTAGGTGGGCGAGCTTCAGGCGCGCCCATCTCGATCGTCAAGGCGTCGCTACGCGCGGTCTTCCGCGGGGGGAGCTGCGTCGACGGGTGCGGGACCGCGGCGCAGCCAGTGCCGTGGCGATGCCTCCGGCTGTTTGCGGCGGGCGGCTTGCTGCTCGCTGCGATGGCGAAAAACTCGTCTCGCCACACGCCAAGGGCTTATGCTCTGGTGAGACGTGAGGCGCATGCGCCCAGGAGGGGAGGGGGCATGTGTAACGACACTGCTAGAGATGCCTTTCGGGGCCCAGAGATAAAACTTCTGTGATGCCATGCGTGACCTAGTAGTGTCCCCAGCTATGGGCGTGTCCACGTTGGAGCCAGGTGTGGTGTGGGCGCGAGAATAGCTCCGCCGTTCATGGAGGCAACCGATGCGAGTCGACTGGTGTGTGTCGTCGTGGTTTCGTATCAAGAATTCTCTCTCAGCCACCCAAGAGCCTAGGTAGGTGCGGATCGGCAACAGCGCAATCGATCTTTTTGCCCTCTATCACCTTGGGTTGCAAGAGCTTGAAACACACCACGCCTGTTCAAGTCTTCAAGGGCCGCTCCCTCGGGATTTGTCTCTCTTTTTGGCGAGCTTCTTCTTCTGTGTGCAGTCACCGCGCTCGTCGTGCCGTGTGCTTTTTGAGAGAGGCTCGTCTCTTGAGAACTGCGGCTACGACGGCGCTCTAGCTCCTTCCTAGCTGCTGGCGGTCTCGCGGGTGTCTGTCTGGCGACCCGCTCAGGCTTGCGAAACGGCCGGCCGCGGCGACGTGTTTCGAGCTCCGGACCTGCCCCGCAGCGTTTGGCGACTCGGCAGTCTCCCAATGGTGCGACACGGCCAAGTAGCGGCTATACATCTTGTCGCGCGTATGTCATGATCCGTCCAGCACACCGCCTCATGTGGGGGACAGCTCGACCCTCCGACCCACAGCTCCCATATATTATTTCAAATGCCGCCTGGTGTCAAATTTTGACGCGAAACGCCATCAGCGCCATGTCGAGGTAGGTGTGCGTCTTGATGACGCCGCCCGACGAGACGTAGGGAAGGCGCGTCCAACTCGCGAGCTCGAGCTGCGGATGGCGATGCACGAGCGCATCGAGAAACGCGACGGCGCCCTGCTCGAACGCCGGCGCTTTCGCGGGCCACGCGCCCCCCGTGAACTCGAGCGGCTCGCGCGGCTTGCGCGCCGCGTTCCGCCCGCCGATGCGCCCCTCAAACACCTTGGCGCTGAACGGGAGGACGGTTGCGAGCACGAGCACGCCGCCCGGCGCGACCGCCGCGACCGCCGCGTCGACGACAGCCAACGGCTCGTCGCACCGGTCGAGCACGTTGAGCAGCGCCGCGGCCGTAAACGGCGGCGCACCGCGCAGCTCGTCGAGCGCGGCGGCCGCGCGGAAGCCACGCGCGCGGAGCGCGCGCCGCAGCGCCCACGAGCTCTCGAGCGCCGTCACGCCATTGGGTGCGACGCCGAGTGCGGCCGCGAGCTTCGCTGTCTCGGTGCCCGTGCCCGCGCCGATGTCGAGGAGCGAGCGCGCCGGCGCGCCGGCGGCGGCGTCGGCGAGGCCGGCCTGCAGCACGGCGTGTTCGAGGAGCGCGCGGAACTGCTCCTCGGACGCGACGTAGAGGGTCTGGAGGCGGAGGAAGCCACTCGCGTCCGTGCGGCTCCAGCCGAGGTGAAGCTGGAGCGCATAGAACGCCGCCCACTTGAGGCGCGTGAGCACGCGTCCGCGCCGGCTCGCGCTCGTCGCCGCCGACGCCTCGAGGAAGCGCGCGAGATCGGCGTCCGGAGTGAGCTTCTTGGAGCGCGAAAAAGTCGCAGCGAGTGCGGCGGCCGCCGCGTCCGTGCGCTCGAGCCCGCTCTCGCGCCACGCGTCCCTCGCCCAGCGCTCGAGCCACTTGACATTGACCATGAACGCGGCTTTCGGGATTTTCGTGCCCGGCTGCGGCCTCAGCGTGTGATCGTCCTGATCGAGCAGCGATTTCAACGAGGATGCGGCCGCGATCGACAACAACCCCACCGCGGCCGCAAGCAGCGTGGCGCGCGGCGCGCATGCGGCGCGCGGTGGCGGCGAGTCGCTCGCCATGCGCTGTCTGCCTTCTTCAAGGGAGGGAAGAGGAGGGGGAAGGGAGAGGGGTAGCGACGTTGCGCGCAGGCGCGCGGCGTCTTGTTCACAGCCTTGTTATGAGAAGAAAATACCTCCTATGGCGCTATGCGCTGGTCTGTGAGAGGTTGAGGTGCGAGCCCTGGAGGCCCTGGGGATGGGGGGAGACTACCCGCGGGCCTAGAAGGCCCGCGCGCAGGGGGGTGGGGCATTGAGACCGGTCATGAATGAGTGCGCGACACGCATGTTGCGAGCAGCGTTGTTGAGAGAGAGATTTTTAGCAATACCAAACAACTCTAACACTCACACGTCATTTGGGGCCTGGAGCCCTGTTCACGCGCGCGCGAGACGTGCAGACAGGGTTGCCAGGTGAGAGCGAATGGCGCGGTTCACGCCTCGCACAACAGAGAGAGAGATGCGCTCTGCATGGTGGGACATAAAAGAGAGCGAGTACTTGGGCGAGTAGGCTGTGCGGTCAACGCTGCCGCGCGCGACTTTGCGCGCGAGGCGGCGCAGCTTGAGAACGGCGGTGGGCGAGAAGCCGCCGCCGAACGTCTCGTGGAGCAGCAGGTTGAAGTTGTTGCGCTTGACAAAGATCGCGTCGTGGTAGAAACCGCGATGCGCCTTGACGTAGCCGTGGCCGGTCTTGTGGGAGAAGGGTTGGCTGGGCTGCCCGCGCGCCTTGCAGCCCATGTTCAGGCGGCGGGCCTTCTCCTCGGTGTTGCCGAAGGCGTAGGAGTGGCCGACGGAGGCGGGCGTGCCGCCACTCGAGGCGTTGCCAACGCCCGTCGAGGAGGTCTTGAGGAGGGGCGTCCAGAGCTTGATCTCATTTACTTCATCGCATCCTCCTGGCCCCGCATGGGGTTCTGCGAGGTCAGTCTTGTACCCCTCATTGTACTGCCGGGTGAGCTCTGGTTTCTCCTTGTCGCCGTGCACGACCGGCGCGTTGGCCGGGGCGCGCATCGCGTCCGCCCAGGCGGCGAGGACGCCGTCGTGGGGCCGCCGGTGGTGGGCCTTGTTGTAAAGGTAGTCGCCGAAGAAATCGACTGACATGCCCCGCTCGAGCGCGACCCGAAGGGTGGGAAGCGCCGCGGAGAGCCAAAGGCCGAGCTTCCGCTGGAGCTCGTCCTGGAGGGTGTCGGAGGAGAGGGCGGTGGCGTACGTACCGTCGACACGGACATCGAAGGCCTTGCCGGCGAAAGGCGTTGAGGCGGAGATGAGGCGCGCGGCTTCGCGGTTGTTGACGGCGCTGTCTCCGAGGGACGGGTAGTTCTTGACGTGTACATCCCGCGCCTTGACGAGCTCCTGGTGCGCGAACCAGTCCTTGTGATTCTTGATGGCAGCGAGCGCCCGCGGCCGCGGGTACGTGGATTTGCAAGTGCCATTGAGAATCGCGTCGGTAGCTGGAAGGGACTCGGGCTCGGGGAGCGGGACGCTCTTGGGGTAGAACTCAGTCAGGTAGCCGCCGCGGACGGTGTAGTACTTGTTTTTGTCGCGGGCGGTGCGCTTCTCGCACACCTCCTTCCAGTCCGAGAGGGCGGACTCGTAGGTGGCGATAGCTGCGGCGATGGCGGGGTACTTGGACGCACCTGCCTCGTCGAGGGCGAAGTCGGGGTTGTGGGCGACGAGGGTGCGCCAGTTCTTGAGGAGCGACATGGAGAAGTCGCTGTCGGCTCGCGAGAGGTTTTGTTGCGTTTTGTTGATGTTCTGCGCGTCGCCACAGACGGCGGCGCGCGAGAGCTGTTGCGAGTGGTGCTGGGCGAAGCCCCGGGCGCTGCCGGAGGCTGTGCCGTAGTCGGTGCGGTCGACAGCGCTCGGGCTGCCGACCTCTTTGGCGAAGTTGAAGATGATTCTCTTGGTATAGGCGGCGCGATGCCGCCCTGGCTTTCGACGAGACAAATTTTGACGATTCCGTTCTTGACATGGAGCGCGTCGTAGTACTGTCCCTTGTGATCTTTGACCCAGCCTTTGCCGGTCGCATGGACGAGCGGGCCCTGTGACTTGTGGCCGCGCTCTTTGCACCCAAGAACCTTGAGCAAGGTTTGGTCGAGGGTGCTGCCGAATTGCCGAAACCAAACTTGTGGCCCAGTGACGCACAGCATCCGCCGTGTGCCGCCGAGCCCTGCCCAGCTTGCCTCGTCTTTGTGAGGGCGCTAGGCACCTTGACTTCGTAGTGGACATCACGCTGGGACTGCAGGTCCCCGCCGATCTCACACATGTCGGTGACGTGCCCCTCGTTGAGATGAAAAGTCGTCTGAGGGTTCGCACAAAAACACAACCCCGGACCCAAGACGCACAAGCACAGACAGTCGAGAAGGGAGAGAGCAACGACAGTCAGAAGTCAGCGCTGGGTCCCAGGAAGGCGAATGCGATGACGGCCTCTAGTGTGAGCTCTAGAGCCGACAGACCCTCGCGTCCGGTGCTCACCGACGGCCGGGCGGGCCACCCGCCCACGCGCCGCCTACGCGCAGCGCGTGCGCCGCAAACTCGCCCGCCGACAGCGCCGGCCAGTTGCCATCGGCCGTCGCGAGAGGCCTGCCCGGCTGTCGCCGCGGGGCCCCCACGAACACCACGCGTCGGAGGCGGTGCCGCGCGAACTCGCGCGCAAAGTGCACGCCCCACGCCCGCCGGAGCGTCGTAGCGAAGCAGGACCGGTCCGCGCCTCCTTCGCGCTACGCGCGCCGATCCGCCTCCAGTGCTGCTTGGATGCCGACTCCACCACACAGTCGAACAGCTGTGGTGCAGGTCGTCCGACGCCTCCGCGCAGGCCCCGACAACGAGGCTCGGCAAGTGCTCAGCGGCAAACACGATGCCGGCGACGCCCGCGGTGTTCAGCGTGAACGTCGAGTCCTCGCTGGCTGAATCGAACATGAGATGGTAGCACACTCCCGATGTCGTCGGCGTCAGGGTCAGCGCCGCGTCCGGGGAGACGTCTGTGCAATTCCTATTGCCTTCGATCAGGACCGCAGCATCGCCCTCGAGCGATTCCATCGTCGCCGCCATCGGCGTGTGGGTCGCGATCATCACGAGCTTCATCGTCGGGTCGGCGTATTTGCCGTTGACCTTCTGCGCCAGGCAGGTGTGCGTCGTGTCGCCGCTGGTATCGAAGACGCCGATCCACTCGAAAGGCTGTGTCCAGGGCGTCGGCGGCGGCGGGGCGGCGGCGACGTTGCACCGACCGACGCCCGCGCCTTGCTTGCCCGAACGAAGATGAGTCCTTGTCGTTCAGGCCGCACCGCGGCCATGCGCGCAGCCGGGAGAGCGGGAGGCGCTCAATCGCCGAACTCGGCGAGCGCCTCCATTTGTCAGCGTCAGAGAGGGCGCGCCGGCTGCGCGCCCCCGGGGCGCCCCCGGCCGCCCCCCGCGCTCTGCAGGTGTCGTCGGGACCCTCGTCGAGCTGTGAGCGAGGCGGCGAACGCGCACGCGACCACTCCGCGGAGCCGAAGTGGCGGCGCGCAGAGAGGAAGAGGAAGACCCCCAGCGGGCTCGCGGAGGCAGAGGCGCTGCTGCCGCTCCTCTTCCTCAACAACATGCTCGGCTACGCAGACAGGACAAACCTCTCGGTGGCTGTCATCGCGATGAGCCGCGAGTTCGGCTGGGGCGAGGCGAGCACCGGCACGCTCCTCGCGTCATTCTTCTGCGGATATGTCCTCACGCAGATCCCGGCCGGCCTCGCCGCCGCTCGCTTTGGAGCCAAGCGAGTGCTGCTGGTCGGTACAGTAGTCTGGTCTGCGGCAACAGTTCTCACGCCGTGGGCCGCACGCCAGTCCATCAACGCCGCCCTCGCGGCGCGCACTGCGCCCTCCGCCAGTACGTCATTCGCGGCGCCTGACGGTTGGAGGACGGTCAATCTAGTCTAGGCGCGCGTCGTCGTCGGCCTCGCCGAGGGCGTCCAGATCCCGTGCTGCAACGCGCTCCTCGCTGCGTGGGTCCCTCCGCACGGCCGGGCGCGCGCCCTCTCCTTCATCTTCAGCGGCCAGTTTGTGGGGACCATCTGCGCCCTCTCCTGCTCGCCGCTGGCGGAGTGGTGGTGGCCCTCCATCTTCCTGCTCTGGCGCCGCCGCGCGCCCCCGCAGGGTGGCGGAGGGCGAGGTCGCGCCTGCCAACCGCCCTCCGCGCCCCTCTCCCTAGGGGATGGCTCGGCTTTGTCTGGTGCCTCGTCTTCGCCGCCCTCGCCCCGGCCTCATCACCAGGCGCCTCCGCCGGAAAAGGCGCGGCAGGGGAGGAGCTGGGCCTCATCTCTGCTGTTGACGGGTCGGGGAGCCCGCGCTGCAGCGCCTCTGCGCCGCGCTGCGCCCGCCCCGCCTTCCTCGCGCACCCCGCTTTCCTCGCCGTGTGCGCGGCGCATTTCGCAAACAACTGGGGCGCGTACCTCCTCCTCTCCTGGCTGCCAAAGTACCTCACCTCGCTCGGCGCCACGGCCACGGCCTCGCGGGCTGCTCCCCTCCCGCCGCCCGCCGCAGGCTCCCCGCGTTGAAACCCCGCAGGCGCGACACTCGCAGACGGCTCGACCCTCTTCAGCACGCCGTACGCCGTCGCCATCGTGGCGGACAACGTCGGCGGGTGGGTGGCGGACGAGGTGCTGCTCTCGCGCTGCCGGCTCAAGCTGCTGCACGCGCGCAAAAGCATGCAGGCGGTGGCAATGCTGGTGCCGTGCGGCTGCTTCCTCCTCCTCTGCGGGAGCACGTCGGCCGGCGGCGCGGCGGCGCTGCTCGCCGCCGCCATCGCCGCCTCCTCCTGGTCGCACGCAGGCTACGCGGCAAACATCCTCGACCTGGCGGGCGGCGACGCGGCGACCGCCGCTCAGATGTGGGGCGTCGTCAACACGATCGGAACCGTGCCCGGCATCGCGGCCAACGTCGTCACCGGCCGCGTCCTCGCCGCCGCGCCAACGGCCGCCGCCGGCGCGTGGGTGCGCGTCTTCAGCACCGGAGCCGCGATCTATGTGTGCGGCCTCACAGCCTTCCTCGCCTTGGCGCAAGCGCTGCCACTCCCGACCAGCGGGGCGGAGAAGGCTGGCTCGTGCGGCGCCGGCGGCTTGCTCGGGCCAAAGCCCGCGAGGTGACGCGGCGCATTGCGCTCTCACGAGATGTTCCACGCGAGACGCGCGGCATACCACATGGAAGAGTTTTCCTATAATTGACCTACTTGATGTACGAACCCTACACTTCACATCATAATACCCGGCTGCGACTCCAACGCTCTCCAGTTGACATGCTGCCACGCTGCGGCTCCGGGCATCAGCCTCGCCAGCGCGCACACCACCGGCCGGCACTCGATCGCGAGCACGTACGACGGCTGCTCGTCCTCGAGGTGGTAGTCGGGAAGCGTGTCGAGCAGCACCTGGGGGGAGGGCCGGTGCCGACTGAGGTGCGTGTGCGGGCGATGAACCCAAACTCTGTAGGCGCGGGCGCGGGCGGCGCGCGCCCTGAGCTGATCAAGGTTGCTGAGCTCGGGCGGGAGCGACTGGCCCGCCGCCTCCGCCTGTGGCAGCACATCGAAGAAGCTCTGCAACGCTTGCTGGAAGCTGCCGACGGTGAGCCCTTCAATCGTCGGCGGCGTCCGGTTGGGGTTGTGCATCGGCCCCGGAGGGACAGGCGGAATGGCGCCGCGGTTGGGCCGATTCGGGCCGCCCGGTACAATGTACTTGCCCACGTGCCCGCAGATCTTGCACTTGACGCCCTGCACGTGGCAGTGCCCGCACACCTCGCAGATGGGGTCGCGCTCGCGCTTCGCGACGTTGTGGCGCGCCGCCTCTGCGAGGATCTCCTGCTGCATGGAGCTCGCTGACATCCGAGTTCGAGCTGTCCGCTTGCCCAAGGGTGGCGGATCCGCTTGCCCAAGGGTGGCGGAGATGGTGCTCGCTGGCGAGGCGGAGCGGGGGCGGCGGAGCGGTCTTTATGGGCCGGGAAGAAATCGCGCGATGTCTCCGTTACGCAAAAGCATGCGCGACTTGCACTCTTTCGTGCCACTCGCTCGCCGGTGCGCGGGGCATGGCCTCCCGCGCGGCTCGCGCTCACTCGGCCTGCCTCCGCCTCGCGGCTGGCTGAGCACGCCATGGGTCCGCCTGGTGCGGCGCTGCTCGCTCGCTGCGCTGCACAAAGCTGCGAGAAGCAGGGGGCCTCCTGAGCTTGAGCATGGCGCAGCGCGGCTGCTGGTGCTCGAGGGCTGCCGTGCAGTGGCGTGAGGGCCTGATTGGTGGTGACCTCGTGCTGCATCAGCGTGCGCAGCATGCTCCCTCACCCGGTGCTGAGACATGCTGGTGGGCGACTGGCGCCAGCTTCTCAGTGCTGTCCTTGGCGTTGTGCAGCATGTCGCAACACTCCTGCTGCGCTGACCGGCGCGCGGGGCGCGTCGTGCCGCGAGTGGAGCGAGAGGCTCGAGGCGCACGGCTGTCGGTCAACCCTGCGGCGCATGCGCGCCGCCAAGGCTGCTCGACAGGCGACTGGCATTGTGGCGACGCGGTGGCCGTTACTCCAACTTTGCTTTGCCGATCAAAAGCGCCCGTCCTTTGCTTTTTCGCCGCCGAAATTTAGCTTGCTGTTTTTTCTTTATAGGCGTCTGCCACTTCCAAGCTGCGTATTCTTCTTGTATTATCGTCGAGTAGTGCAGGCGTCTCGCAGCTGCGTATTCTCGTATTATCTTCGAGTAAGGTATTGCGTGGGGACGGTGCGTATTCTCGTATCACTAGCTAGTGTCGTGTCCACTAGCTCCGAGTAGAGGGGGCGCTCCGCTGCTAGGGGAAACCTGGAGCGCGGACTAACCCTCGGAGAGTATTCTTTAGCTCCGAGTAGAGGGGGCGTTCTGCTGCTAGGGGAAACCCGGAGCGCGGAACTAACCCTCGGAGACCCGTGTTATGGCCCTGCGAACGCGCACCCCCAGGGCTAGGGCTCTCTTGCCCGCAACCCGATGCCAATCATCCGGCCCGCTGGATGCGCTTCTCAGCTCACCGGCCCTGGATGTGAGGTTGCCGACTGCACTCCAAGTGCTCCAAGTGCGATGTCCTCCTCCAATCCCTCATTTGGCTGCCGCTTTTCTTTCTTTCTTTGCTCCGTCTTTCAACAATGGTGAAAAGGTGAGAAGTGATCGCATCCCTTGCCGTCGCGCGTCGGTCCTCCCCACATGCTCATGCAACATGCACTCCCAACAGACACACGAGACTACGAAGTCCGGCCCCTCAGCTCTGCCGGCACCGGCGCGTCGGGCGGCGCAAAGTGGCGGAAGAGGTCCGCGGGCTCGAGGTGCGAGGCGACGCCATCGCGCTGGGCGCGTACCGCCGCGAGGAGAGCGGCGCGGAACGCGCACCCGCCGCCCTCCCCGTGCCGCTGCCAGGCGTCTCCGAACCGCGCGTGCATCGGCACGAGGTCGGTCGAGTGGACGGCGCCGAGGGTCCGGTGGGCCAAGGCCGCGTGCAGCGGCTGCAGCGTCACGTACTTTCCACTCTCGCCGCGCGGGGCGGGCCGCACCTCCCGAGACACGACCTGGCACGGCACATCGCCGGCGTGCTCGCGGAGAGACGCGTCCTCGCCGCCCACCGCCCCGCCGATCCGCGCGAGCAGCGCCTCGGCCTCGACAAAGAGGACCGTCCCCGGCGCCGTCTTGATCGACTTGCCTCCCCACGCCGCCCGCCGCGCCCGCCCGCCGAGCGCGCGCGCGAAGGAGGCGCGCTCGCCGGCCGCCCGCTCCTCCGCCTCCCGCTTCATCCGCTCCAGCGCCGCGAGGTCGTCTGCCGCCCACGGGTCCGGAGCGTCCAGCAGGCCCGGCAGCGCCGCGCGCGCCGCGTCCGCCCACGGCATCCGCCCGCACAGGTCGGCGATGTCCTCCCGCACGGGGCAGCGCACCTGCAGCACCTCGCCGCCCTCCTCGAGCTCAATCTCGAGCGAGGCGCAGTGCAGCGCGAGGCTGCGCAGCCCGCGCTCCTCGCGCCACCACCGGTTGACGCGCGAGTCGCCGTGCTTTGCGTCGCCCAGGATGGGGTGCGAGAGCCCGCCAAGGTGCTTCCGGATCTGGTGGAAGCGGCCGGTGGTCGGCTCGGCAACCACCAGCGAGGCGCCGAGGTTGAGTCGCCCCGTGACCGCCTCGCCCTCCCCCGCAACCTCCTCGCCGTCGCACCCTCCGAGACACATCAACTCGGTGCGCGCAGCGCGCAGCACGCCCTTGTCGTCGCGCACCGGCCGCTCGACCACGAGCCCTTCGCCGAGCGTCGGCATCGCGTTGCCCCGCGCCACGGCGATGTACGTCTTGCGGACCCGGCCGGAGGCGAATGCGCGCTGGAGCGCCGCGGTGGTCTCCGAGTCCTCCGCAAAGACCAGACAGCCAGACGTGCCAGCGTCGAGCCGGTGCACGGGGTTGACCTGCGTTCCGAGCTGGTCGCGAAGAAGCTGCAGCAGCGCAACGTCGCCTTTGCGCGACCAGTCGTTGCGGTGCACGACTAGCCCTGCGGGCTTGGCGACCACGCAGAAGCCGGGGCGGCGCGCCAGGATTGGGATGGACGGCGACGCCGCGAATAGGCTGGCAGCCGAGGTGAGCATGTTCGGCAGGTGTCGAGGCGACAGCGGCGGCGACGTGGTCGACACTAGACGGCTAACGCACAACCTGGAACACACCGCAGCATCAGCGCAGCATCCCGAACTGACTGGATGGGGGTAGCGGGGAGGCTGTTGTGGGGGTAGCGGGGAGGCTGTTGTGGGGGCGCACTGGACCGCCCCCAGCCGTGCCCTCACAGTTCACGAGGTGAACCGTGAACCCGGTTTTGTTTTCCCGGTTCATGAACCAGTTCGCGGTTTACGGTTAGTTCACGGTTCGCGGTTCACGGACTCGGGGCGGGGGCTAGTCGGTTCACGGTTCACGGTTCGGCCCGACGCTGCCCCGCCTGGTTCGTTCACGGTTCGCGGTTCGCCCTTTTGTCCTGCCTCGGTTCGGGTTCACGGTTCAGAGTTCACGGCCGGTTCGTGGGTGAACCACTGAACTAGTTCATGAACCAAGCTTATTTTCACACCTCTTACACACCGACACAGTTCGCGAACCACAGTTCGCGAACCATCCGTGAACCGAGACCCAGAAATTCGAACCAACGCGCGGCGAAAGCCGGAACAAAGTGGCGGGAGAGTTCCTCGAGGGGAGTTCGACGAGACGATGGGCTACCTGTGCCTCTGCCCGCCGGCCGTCTGTCGCCCCTCAGCTCTGACATACAGTTGCCGCCCAGCCTGACGCTCGCACTTGTGGGCATCTACTTTTCCGGCTCAAACCGCACCGCCACCGGGGACGGTGCCGCGACGGTGGGTCGTGATCGATCTTGATCGTGTGGCGGGAGGGTGAGCAGTTTGACGCTGCTGAGGTGCGCGAAGCCGCGCTGCGCGACGAGTTCAAGAGGGTCTTCAAGTGCTGGAAACGGTTCCGCGCCGAGCTCTATCAATCAGGATGGCGCGTGGCGCAAGTACTTCACCGAGCCCGGCGCGCCGGATGAGGTCGCGCGCTCCTCCGACGCCGATAACTTACGGATTTTACTTTCTAACTCATATCGCCCTTGTTCACAGGAGAACGACAAGTACGACTTCGATCCTCAAGACGACCTCATCGACCAGCTTAACCTGGACATTGGACGGATTTACCGCGACCTTGAGAAGCAGACACTTCATGGAGTACATGCGCAAGCACGAGAAGGACTATGAGCCCGGCAAGTAGGTTGGTGGGGGCGGTTCACGACCAGTTGTTGTGAATGAGCACCGCCTCGCTCCGTCGCTTCAAGGGCTGAGGACGGGCGGGACGGGACCCCAGCACGAGAGGGCATGGCCGGAGGGCGGTGCGCCCTGCGGTAGGTAGAAATCTACCTCAATCCTCATCCAAAAGCGCCAAACAAAAGGATTCATCACTGCAATCACTCAACGCCCTCCGAAATGCTGGCGGTCGCTCCTTGCGGCTAAGAACAGCTTCCCACCCAGCAGCTTCCCACCCCACGTCACACGCCGCGTCTCGTCTCGTCCATGGATGCTGGTCGATCTTTGTCCCTTGTTTTCCGTTTCGCCGAGGGACTCATTCCCCCGCCCCCGGGCCCCCCGGTGTTTGGAGGCCCCCCCCCCCCCCCCCCCCCACACCACCACCACCACCACCTCCCTTCGCTCCTTCGCCTTGCCCACTCCTTGCCACGTGGTACAAGCCGAAAGTCGAAACGTCCCTTCCCTACACCTCTTGCCGCCCAATGCTCGTGGCAGCCCTCCTCACCGCGGTCGGCTCCTCGGCGCTGGTCGTCAACGATCAGCTGACCATCCCTTCCGCCTGCGCCTACACGCTTTCGTCGATGTCTGCGACGATCAACGCCCAGGCCGCGGGAGCCGATGGGTGCGAGGTGCGGGCGTGGAGGATTGCTCCGGGGCAGTCGCTTGACCGGATCCAGTTCAACACGTCGCAGCCCTACGTGAAGGCGCGGACACCCTGGACTTCTTCGCCGTCGAGTCGGACGGCCAGCTGCGATCGCTCACGCAGCACAGCCAGAATTTCAGCGCCTCGAACCCGATCCCTCCAGTGCTGTGGCTGACCCAGGCAACGGACGAGGTGGTGCTGGTGCTCGACGCGCCGTCGGGCGGCTCGAGCTTCACCATGTACATCAGCTGCACCGCCGCCTGGTCGCCGCCTCCGCCCTCACCTCCACCGCCGGGTTTTATTGCTGGAGGTGTTGCTGCATCTGTTCTCTTGCTCGTCTGCCTCGTGTTGTGCGTAAGATTGCGCAAGCGTAAGGTCCGGCAAGCCAAACCCACTCCCCGTATACCTCAACCAGACCTCAGCGAAGCCAATCGAGCGTCTGTCTCCTCGACTTCACCGCTGGTCGAGGACGAGACGTCCCACAGCAGCGACGCCAAGGCTAACCAAGGAGATGCAACTGGCGCCAAATCCGAAGCGGTGTGTCAGTCCAATCCTGAAGCGATGGCTCGTGCAAGGGCGGCTCTTGCAGCACGGGCTGGTGATAGCTCCTCAAGCAGCGCGGCGCTCGCTACTGAGGCATGGTCGGTTGGCCGGCCGGTGGTGGTTGTGGAGGGACGGCCAGTCGACCCGTTGCCCGATGTGGAGGCGAGGACGCAGCAGGAGACGTCCACCCACCATCGCCAGTTGAAGCAGCTAGCAGAAATGGCCCTAGCAGTCGCCGCTACGGCCGTCTCGCTGATGCCTTCTCTGATGGCCAGTACACCACCCTCGTCTCCGCCGCCGCCGCCGCCGCCGCCGCCGCCTCCGCCTCCGCCTCCCGTTTAGGCGCACGGAGCCTCTGGGGCAGATGGGGTGGGTCCCCCGGCCCGCCGCCGGCGCCAAATTTTGTTTTTCTTTTTTCTAATTTATGCCATTTTGACTTGTTTTCATGGGAATTCGGCGTACTTGCGGCCATGCGCTATCAACCGGTTTGCCCGGTTACGCGTTAATCCCGCCACTCCACGTGACACACGTGTCCTCTTTTTGCGCTTCCTGCTCCCGGCCCTGGGGCGTGCGGTCCGTGCGGGGTTTTGATCTCTCTCTCTCCGGTCGTGACGTGACCGCACTCCAACAGTAACACCGGAGCGCGGAGCAAGCCGGGGAGCGCGGAGCCGAAGGCGGGAGGGCGAGATAATCTCCGTCTACTAGTTCTCGCGAACCCAGTTCGCGAACCGCCGCGCGAACTTGGTGGGGGCGGTTCACGAACCAGTTCGCGAACCCAGTTCGCGGACCGGCGGTTCGCCGCCGGGTCGCCAGACTCGGTTCGTTCACGGTTCACGGTTCGCGGCGGGTGTCGCGGGAGGAGTCGTTCACGGACTTCGACCCGAGAAGGCCCCTCTGGGGGGCAGATTGACTCAACAAGGCGCCTCAAAGCCCCCTCTCTGGGGGACCCCTCCCCTCCCACCCCGAGTGTCCGTTGTCCTTCGCGAGTCACCGAGAGGAAGGGGGGGGGGGGGGGGAGCGAAAACGAACAAGGGGCGGCTGGGGAGGGGGGGGTCCACTCTGAAGACAGCCGACCGCGGAGGGGTTTTGTCCCACAGGGTTTTACCCTCCGCGTGAGGATCGGCGCGGCGAGGGGGTAGGTTCGAATTCGCCGCGCAACATTTCACCCCCACAGGACCCCGCCCTCCCCCCCTCATGGTCCCACCACCTAGAACCCCAATCTTAGGCTTCGCACCCCCTCCTTGCGCAGTGTCCCCCACTATGTGTCGCCGTTATCGGGGCACGCTATCCTGTGCAGTCAGGGCAAGTGGGGGCGGGGGGCACTCCCATCTCTCCTGTGTACGGGTGGTGACTGTCCCTAGTCTCGGAGGGGGGCTTGAAGGTAAGAATATTTTATTTTTATCAAGACTGATATGACGCACACAGTGACACATCAGACGACAGGGGCCATAAAGTGTCATATCAAGACACTTTATGGCCCCTACCCCCTTCCCTGCGAACGCGCAACCCCCAAGCGTCAGGCGTCAGGGCTTTCTTGCTCTCGTAGCCCATCCCCGAGCATCCGGCCCGCTGGGTGCGCTTCATGGTGCTCTGGGTGTGAGGTTACCGTATCTAATTAATCCCGCGCGACTGCACGCTCTGTGTGGCACGCTCCATCCCCCTAGCCTTATCGCTTATGCAAATTGCAAATCAGAATCACGCGCGCAAATCCATTATACAACAATTCTTTTTCTGAGAAAAATAAAATCGCGCGAGGTTTTGTTTCTAATTCTATCTTTGAGCTCGTTTCAGTATACTTTATCATGTCACAACATGTACATGTGTACTTTCTATTTTCCTAGAGACCGCCTGTAGCGTGTGGGGCGGAGACCTCCCCGAGACAGTGTAATGTGTATGTGAGCCTGGTCCAGCGGGTCCAGGGACCAGGCTAACTCCCACGCATGCGATCAAGCGGTACCTTGGAGACAGTACAACAACGTGCAATCTCGCCATGCCATGCGCAGCCGCCGGCGCAGCGCTCGCATCGCCTCCGTCTCCGACATTGTCGGCTCGTTGGGCAAGGCAGAGCTGCCACACGCCGTTACAGCACTCGGAGACGAGAGCGTTCGCGCAACCGAGCGCATTCGCCGCGTCGCTCAGGCCGCCCCGAGCGCATGCGCGTGCTCTTGACGCCGCTCGGCCGGCGCTTCGGCCTCGCCCGCCGCCCTCTCGCCCAAAATGATGCGGGCGGCGCGCTCGGCGAGGGCAAACGTCGTCGCGCCGAGCTGGCCGCCGGGCAGGGTGGGCAGCACCGACGCGTCCACCACACGCAGCCCGCTCGCGCCCCGCACGCGCAGCGCGGGGTCGACGACGGCGAGCGGGTCCGACCTGCTCGGCGGGGGGGAAGGCGCGCCGTGAGGGTCGCTCCGCACGACACCCCTCCACGAGCCGGGCGGGCGAAGTCGCGCGCCCCATGCGACAGGAGCCGCCGAGCGCGTTGGCCGAATGCGCCGTCGAGCGGATGTACTCGTCGAGGGCGGCGTCGTCGCCTGGGCGGCGTAATCGACACGCGGCCTCGCCTCGGGCGATCTCGGGCGATCTAGGGCGACATCTCGGCTAGACGTCGCCGAGGTCGACGCGCGGCCACGCCTCCTCGCCCCGCACGCCGTCGAAAGCGGGCTGCGCGACGAGCTCACGTGAGAGGCGCAGCCCCTGCCGCAGCGTCGCCAGGTCCGCCTCCGAGGTGCCGTACCCGGTCTCGATGCGAGGCGGCGCGGACGGGTCGGCGGAGGAGAGCGAGACCGAGCCCCGCGCGGTCGGCCGCACCTACGCACAGCTACAGCACAGCTGTCTCTCGAGCTCCTCCACAGCTCCTCTCTCCCCCCCCCCTCCCCCGCGGAGAGAGCCGCGCCGCGATGCTCTGCAGCGTGAGGCCGGAGGGCGTCTTGCCCGCGCGGCCGATGTCGCGGTAGCTCGAGACGCCGTCGGGAGAGGTGCCTGCATGCACGCGGCCCCAAGCCTCAAGAGACCGCTGGCAGCTCTCGAGGTGCCGTCAGGGGGAGCGGTGAGCGCCCAGGCCGGGCACAAAGCGGAGCTGCAGGTCGGGCTGCGCCAGCCCCGGCCTGAGACACAATACACACATGGTACAATGTATAGAGCGGAGCTCGCAGGGAGCCTGCTCACAGACGGCACGCGTGAAGAGGCGCCGCCCGCGGCTCGTCAGTGCTCCTCCCGCCCGCCGAGTGGAGAAGACGGCTCCGACCCCAATCTCGGCGCATCTCGGCGCATCTCGGCGCATCTGGGCGCATCTGGGCGCATCTCGGCGCATCTCGGCGCATCTGGGCGCATCTCGTCGCCTCTCTCTCTCTCTCTCTCTCTCTCTCTCTCTCTCTCTCTCTCTCTCTCTCTCTCTCTCTGCGAGTCTTATGCCGGCTGGAGAAGAAGCCCCCAAAGTCGCAGCCGCTCGACGCGAGCGGGCCCGAGCCGCGGAGCAGCCACTCGCCCACGCGGCGCGGCGAGAGGGCGCCGCTCCGCCGCCAGAACATCTCGTCCGTGATGGAGAGGGGCGAGGTGACCGTGTAGCCAGTCACGACGGCGGGCTGGTCGATCAGGTTCCGACCGACGCCTGGCAGACACACCTCGGCTCCGATGCCGTGCGCCGCCAGCTCGTCCGGCGACCCGATGCCAGACAGCAGCAGCAGGTGCGGGGACGAGACCGCGCCCGCGCACAGCAGCACCTCCCCGCCTCCACCTCCGCCGCCGCCGCTCACGCTCGCCGTCCGCTGCACGCCCGCTGCGTCGATGTACTCCACCCCGACTGCGCGCCTCCCCGCCTGGCCGGTGACCGCCGGGCCCGTCCACGGCCGCGTCTTCCCTCCTCCGCCTCCGCCTCCTCCCCCCCCCTCCGCCTCGAGGAGCAGTCGCGTCGCTGCGCAGCCGCACCGCACGTGCAGGTTCGGCCGCCGCGCCGCCCGACGCAGGTGGGTGGCGGCCGAGTGCGCTCGCCTGCCGCGCCGTGTCGTGAGCTGGAAGCGGCCCACGCCCGCCTGGGGGGGGCACGCGCCAGGGCGCGTCGTGGACGTGTCGTGTAGGCGGTGGGAGTGCTGCCCTCTCCCCGCCCTCTCTTCGTCCTCTCTTCATCCTCTCTTCGCCCTCTCCCCGCCCTCTCTTCGTCCTCTCTTCATCCTCTCTTCGCCCTCTCCCCGCCCTCTCTTCATCCTCTCTTCATCCTCTCTTCGCCCTCTCCCCGCCCTCTCTTCGTCCTCTCTTCATCCTCTCTTCGCCCTCTCCCCGCCCTCTCTTCGTCCTCTCTTCATCCTCTCTTCGCCCTCTCCCCGCCCTCTCTTCATCCTCTCTTCATCCTCTCTTCGCCCTCTCCCCGCCCTCTCCTCGCCCTCTCTTCGCCTGCGGCCGGCTCCAGTCGTTGAAGTCTGCGTTGGAGGGGTGGCCCGCCTGCGCCGCCGCCTCGAGGAAGCGCTCCGAGAGCGGGTTCGCGTAGCGCGGCGTCTCGGCGGGCACCGCGCCGCCGCTGCCGTGGTGGAGCGCGTCGGTGCGAAACGCGGCGTCCCTCTGCGCCTGACCACGCATCAACTCCGTCAAACGAAGAGCTGGCTGTGCGACAGCCGGCGGTCCTCTTCGCCTCCACGGCGAGGAAGGAGGCGAGCATCGCTTCGGAGCCCCACCCGTCCAGCCCCCACCCGTCAAAGTCGGCCGCCGTGCCGCGCAGGTAGAGCAGCGCGTTGGTCGCGCTGGAGCCTGTGTGGCACGGAGGCGTCACGGGCCGAGCCGTGACCGCTTCTGGCGTCAGAGCGGCGAGACGCCCGCGCCTCCGAGGCACTTTCCGCGGCACAGGTGCACCTCTCGGCCGGCGGTGCCTGGCGCCGGCGCCGAGCGGAAGCCCCAGTCGTACTCTGAGCCGAAGAGCTTGGTCAGCGCAACCGGCGCCGCAATCTTGAGCTCCGCGGCTGGCGACGGGCCTGGCTCTAGCACGAGCACCTGCGATTAGAGGGCTCGGTTGCGACGGCGGCGGCGGCGGAAGCGGCGGCAGTGGGCTGGGCCGGCAGCCTGTTTCGACGCCGCCGAGAGCCTATCAGCGAGCACGCAGCCGGCCGTGCCGCCGCCGACGATGATGTAATCAAAGTGCGTCGGCGCTGCGCGAAAGGGGTTTCGGAGCGCAGCGGAGCAGTGCGTCGCGAGAAGCAAGAGCCAGCGGGCGGACATTGAAGCAAATGACGCGACAAACACCGACGAGAACTGAGCGCAGTCGTCTGTGTTCGTGCTGAGATGAGTGCTATTTATTTTTAAAAGGAAATTCGTTTCAATGGAATTTGAAAAAACAAAATGCGCGGCCGGAATCGATTCGATGCGGGTCTTGGCCGTACATGGCGTCTTACCTCTCCTAGCCGTGCTGCTACCGGCCGTGCATGGCGCAATCGCCACGCCCGCCGTGGTTCGCTCGACTCCACTGATATTGCGCCGCGCCGGCCTCACTTTGCTCCAACGACAGGAGGAGGAGGTGACGGGCGGCCTCCTGAGGCGGCCTGCTTCTTTTGCTGACGGAAAGACTGGCGTGGTCGTGCCGACGAGCAGCGATTCGTCCTACGCGCAGTGGGCAAAAGACAATCCGCTCGCCAATAACCTGGGCATTGCCACCGTCAAGACGGCTTCGGCCGACCTGCTGGCGCAGCTTGTCATTGCGCAGACGCCCGTCGCGGAGCTCGACTATTCGCGCCTGCTGCTCTTTGCCTCGTTTGGGCTCGTCTACCTCGGTGGCTTCCAGTATCTGTACCAGGTACGGAAGCAGACGAGATACTTCCGAGGCGCTTCCAAGACACTTCCGAGCCGCCTCCGAGATACTTCCGAGACGCTTCTCAGACGCTTCCATAGACACTTCCGAGACGCCTCCGAGATACGAGACGCTCCCGAGGCTCCGTGCCGCCTCCGGCCCACAGGTGCAGGTCTTCAAGCGCCTCTTTGACGTGGACGCCTTCACCTCGCAGCCGTGGGCGGACAAGCTGCGGGACGGGCCGGGGCTGCGCGCGCTCGCGGCGCAGACGGCACCTTCGCCCGCCCCCAGTCCGCGTCCAGCTGCAGGGTCTCTCTCCTCACCGCCGCTGTGTGGGCAGGCGCTCGACCTGGCCGTGCTCTCGCTCATCTACCTACCGACCTTCTACGTCTTCAAGGCCGCCGTCTTCTCCGACGCGGCCACGGGATTCGAGCCCGCCGGCTGCATCTCCTCTGGGATCGAGAAGTACCAGGCCAACTTTGCAAAGGCGCGCGGAGAGCCCGGCCCTCGCCTCTCGCAAACCACGAGACGCCCACTCGCCTCCCGCCTCCCCAAAGGACGAGTTCGACCTGCTGCGCGTCTGGCTGCCCGCCGACCTCGTCTGCTTCTCGGCGCCCTTTCTCTCCCTCCCCTCCTCCACGCCTGCGGCAGCACGCGGCGCTGCCCACACCTCATGCTGGTGTGAATAGGTGCCGCTCTACCTGCGGCTGCCAGTGCGGCACGTCGTCTCGTTCGTCTGGACGGCGTACCTCTCGTTTGCACGCGCGGGGCATTAGGTGCGCTTCGGGCCCGCCCTGGTGCTTTCTTTTTTAGTTTGTTGCGTGTCCGTGTGTATTGAGTCTATAGTCTTGCGTCTCAGTACAGTTTGCCCGCGCCCCCGCCCTGGGGCTCGCCCAGCTGCAGCATGCTGAATGGACAAACAAATCTAAATCTCTCTCTGAATTGTCCCCACTCAAGGTTATGGGAGCGGCCATAACAGGTGTTATGGCTGTTATGGCTGGCTGCTCATAACACCCCATAACACTTAACACCTCATAACACCTCATAACACCTCCATCGCTGTTATGGCTGTTATGCCCACCCTACCATAACACCTCATAACACCTCATAACACCTCACAGCACTCATAACACCTCATAACACCTCATAGCACTCCAAGTACTCCAAGTGCCCCTCGCACGACACTGGCACGGGACTGGCGCGCACGGAGCTTTAACTACTAAAAGCGGGAGCAGCCAGCTTCCACTTTTTAGAAACCTCGAGACATGAGTGGAAAAAGGAAAGAAAAAGGACGTGAGTTAAATTGCGGGAAAGACATTATGAAAGACATACAAGTTAAAAATGGAGGGAAGCGTGCAGAGCTGCAGAGCGAGTACGAGTTAGAAACGGGAAGCAAATTGCGTGGTGGGGGGGGGGGGGGAGGGCGGGTGGTCTTGAGGTTGAGCAATCTGAAGCCATCGCTCAGCCTCAGGAGGCAGGTTGATGTTATTGAATTTAACTTGAGGGCAAAAGAGAAAATATTTGGCGATCGATGCCGAACCTACCTCGCGCGCGCGCGCGGCAGCGCGCGAAGCGAAAATTCCAGCGGCGAGCAGTCCGGCGTGGCCTCTCGGGCCATAACACCGTGGACCCGGGACGGCCCTCCCATAGCAGCCCATAACATGTTATGGGCTGCTATGCCCAGAGAGCCATAACACCATAACAATAACTGCGCCTGGGGACAATCTGAATGGTGCATGCAGTGCTCACGAGCGTCACGTCTCACGTGTGCTCGCGCGCGCCGGAAGCGGGAGAGAGCGCAGTCCGCAGAGAGGGGAGATAAGGCTCGCCGCCGGAAATCTCCTTTGCCGTGCCTTTGGCCTTCGTTTTTACCGCGTCCTGTGCTCCCGAGTCCATACCCGAGTACTCGAGTACACCCCAGGAATTGCGACTCGCCGCTTTCCTCCCGCTGTGATTCTGTGTGAGCTCTGTGTCTTGATTTGCCAACAATATACCTACAACTCGAGTACAGGTAGCAGGAAAACAAAATGAAGCTCAAGCTGGCAAACTGGCTCCGCACACTTGCCTGACTTGCCCCCGCCCCCCCCGGCGAGATGGGCCAATCATGGGTGGCTGTGCGCGTTTTCGCTCGCTCGCTCCTCATCCCGCTCGTCGCGGGCCACGGTTCGGTGGTGAGGCCGCTGCCGCGGCAGGCTGTCGATGCCGATCAAGCCCCGTGGGCGTCGGGCGCCGTGCCCGAGCCCGTGCCACGCGTGTCGCTTCCCAACGAGGCGGGCACGTGGTGCCCTGTCGCTGGTGCCTCCGGCGCGCGGCTGGGAAAGTACAGCGCGAATCTGGCGCAATCGTGCTTCTGGTTCTCGAATGGGTGTGCGATAGGCTGCCACGCTTGCGACGGCAGCACGCGCGGCCCAGAGGTCGGCCCAGAGAAGCGCAAGGTCTGCGCCACTCCGATGAACGCCACTCTATGCGACGAACGGCTGCGCACGGTGAACACGGACGCGGAGTGTGGCTCGGCGGCGGATAGGTACGCTTTCACGCCGTGGAGAGCGCCGGGCTTCGCGCCTGTGTTCGACGCGTGCGGCATGGCGGGTGGCCGCGCTGCCGGCCCGGGAGGGCACGGCGCCGTCTACCGGAACACGAGCCACGCGAAGCAGGGCGATCTGGGTTCAGCGGTGCTTGGCGCGCTCAACACCAACACAACGTGGTCGGCTGGCGACACCGTTGAGGTGTCTTGGGCGATCACGGCGAACCACGGCGGCGGGTATCAGTATCGGCTCTGCCCAGCCGGCGAGCCGCTCAACGAGGCATGCTTCCAAAAGACGCCCCTGCCCTTCGACCGGAGCCGCAAGCAGCTCTTCCGGTGGGGCGGCCTCGACGGCACCAAGGCGTGGTTCGACGGCGACTACGTATCGGAGGGCACAAACCCGCCGGGCAGCACGTGGGTGAAGAACCCGATCCCACGGAACGATGGCTTCACTGGTGCCGGCTTCGCGCCAAAGTGCGACGAGGTGCCAGACTGCCGCACGACGGCCGTCGAGAGCGACTGCCTATGCTCGGGTATGTGGGGACCGTACAACCTGGAGATAGTCGACTACGTCACGCTGCCCTCGTCGCTCGCGCCGGGCAAGTACGTGCTGGGCTGGAGATGGGACTGCGAGGAGAGCAATCAGGTCTGGGCCTCCTGCTCCGACGTTCAAATCACGGCCGCCCGCGCGTCGAAGTGACCGGCCCCGGCGCCGCAGGAGTAGGAGAGGTCCCGCGGAGGACGCTCGAGGACGCGCCTCTCGCGCGTGTGCCGTGGCGGCTGGGGGTGGCGGGGCCGGGGGGCGTCATCCGTCATGGGGCGTATCCTGGGGCTGGGCTGTATAAACATATGCACTGTGTGTGTCTGTGACTGTGTGGGTGGCTGTTGTTCATGTGTGCCTTTTTTTCTAGTGGCAGTCGCTAGTGCGGACTTGCTCGTGCTGTAACCTGTAAGCTGTATGCGGTGAGAGAGGCGTGTGTCGTGTGTGCTCCTTTTTGCTTGCTGGGTTGTTGTGCGAGTATGTATGTAACTAGTGAGAGGACTCGAGATTGGGGCAGAGCGAGTGGGAGACTTTTCGGCGGGCGAAATGCGGCGGTTTGGATGCGTCCCCTTTGGGACGACCTGTTGGTACGACCTGTGGGACGACCTGTGGCAGCGACCGATGCCGTCACCGGACGCGGCGGCGAGGCACACGGGCGCCGGCGTGGCGCGTCGGCAGGCCCACCACGAGCGGATGCGCGACGAGCGCGCTCGGGAAGCGGCCGCGGGCGACGCGGAGCTTCCGCCGGAGGACGACGCGGTCGAGATGGCGAGCGCCGCCCAGCTGCTGGACAGCGTGGCGGAGGTGGGCCCGAACTACACCCTGCTGCGCAGCAAGGAGACGAAGGCGAAGCGGCGGAAGCGACAGCGCGAGGATGCCAGGGCGGCGCTCGACGGCCACACTGTCCTGTCCACCGGATCGCGCCTCGAGATCTTCTGCGACAGTGAGCGGTGGTACCCTGCGACCGTCATGGCGCGGGAGGAGGACGGGGACGGACGGATCGCGCACCAGGTCGAGTACGACGGCTACCCGGATCGGCGGTGGTGGCACATGCTGGACGACGAGCGGTGGCGAGCCGTCGCAGAGCAGGCCGGCACGGGCGCAGGAGGCGCCGCCGCAGACGGGGATGGGGATGCGGCGATGGACCGCGCGGACGGCGAGCGGGGCGCCCGTGCCGCGGGCGACGCCGAGGCGGCCGAGGTGCGGCCGGCGCCGCCTCCTGTGCGCCGGGGTGTGCAGCGCAGCGCGCTGGCGGACGCCCTCGAGGCGGAGGATGACGAGCGGCAGGAGGAGGCCGCGTGCGGCGATGGGCGGCCGATGCTAGCGCCACACGGGCCGGCGCTGTCAGTGCAGCTTCGGCGCGTGCGCCTGCGGCTGCGCGAGTTCCTGGCGACGCAGGCCGCGGCGGGGAAGAGCGTGCCGATGCAGCGTATATGTGGGACAAAAGCGTCGAAAATCAAAATGTGCAAAAAAGCGTGTCTCGAGTTTGTGGCAGCTCCGCAGCCTGCGCGCGCCCAGGACGCACCACTCGCGCGTTCTGTGCACTCAGTGGGACCCAGGGAGTGCACAGATCCAACAGGAGTGAGTAGGCTCGACGCCGTACTCGAGATGGAGCTGCCACAAACTCGCCGCCGAGCGTGCCACCGAAGGCGTCCCGTCGGAGGTGGTGGAGTTTGAGACCTGAGGCTGCGGAGGTGACGCCTGAGGTACCGGCCCGTGCACAGCGACTCAGCCTGCGACCGCCACGGGCTCAGGCGAGACTTGTCGACTCGTTCCGGCTCAGCTTCACCGTGGTCATCGGGCGTCTGTCGACGTCAGGAGTCAGGACCACCCATACAGCTCGCGGGTTTGAGGTCGCAAGAGCCAAGATGGTGGCGTTTGGACATCCCAGCCATCACACAAGACAGCCTGTAGGTGATGGCGGGACGGCGCAGTGTTTGTGGCACTCGGCAGTAGGCACCCGCGGCACGGCCCCGCTGTCCGCGGCTCTCGCGGGCAGCTCGCGGGCTGGGCGGAACCGGCCCCAGAAGGGGACTGTCCGGGCGAGTGTGGCAGCTCCTGCGCTAGTATGGGCACCCTCTATTGTAGCACTACTGATCCTGGTCATTAGAGCTGCCAGGGATAGCGTCAGGTGCCGGTAGGAGTCAAAACCTCTCTCATATATGTTCGCGTGAGTCGGCGTGAGAGACATCGTGTCCCATATTGCATATCCTCCTCAAGGGCTGTACTATGGCCATATTGCGCCGCCTCCTACTGGCAGCCGGGCGCGCGCCGCGGGCGCCTCGGCGCGCGCACGGCTCGCAAAGTTCGAACGAGTACTGCCGCCGCCGGCCGCCTCAAGGGCTGCCGGGCGGCAGTACTCGCCTCGCAAGGCGCGCACCGGCTGCTCTGGCTGCTGCGCCGGCGGCCGCTGCGCTGGCCGCTGCTGCGCTGGCCGGCGAGCGGTACGACCGCCGGCGGCCGCTGAACCCGCGCCTTCCCTCGCGGGCGCCGTCGCGCCGCGCGCGCCCAACTCTGATGGCACACGGCACGCGTCGTCACCACTCAGCCGCGGAGAACAGGCGGTGCTGCGCGCGAAACGCGCGCGATCTCGTACTTTCAAGGCTGGATCCGGCCATTCCAAGGGTACCGTCGAGCGCCGCCCTGGCATCCTCGCGCTTTCGCTTCCGCCGCTTCGCCTTCGTCTCCTTGCTGCGCAGCAGGGTGTAGTTCGGGCCCACCTCCCGCACGCTGTCCAGCACGTGGACGGCGCTCGCCATCTCGACCGCGTCGTCCGCCGGCGGAAGCTCCGCCTCGCCCGCGGCCGCTTCCCGAGCGCGTCGCGCATCCGCTCGTGGTGGGCCTGCCGACGCGCCACGCCGGCGCCCGTGTGCCTCGCCGCCGCGTCCGGCGACGGCATGATGCTGTCCGCACGAGCGTGACTCGCCACTCAACGACGTCCACGACCTCCACGACCGCCGAAATTCTCCCACTCGCGCTGCGCTCAAACCGAGACGTCTCTCTACAGTTGAAAACATACACATACTAGGCCGGTCGGGGCCGATTTTATTAAATTTTCAACTTTAACCGCATGCCTCGAGACGAGTATGCAAGGACTATCAGACCCTATGGACCACAGAACCGCAGCGGAACGGTCCATTAGACCGATCCCTGACACATTTTCTAACCATACTCCACCCGCAACACCGCGCAGCAGCCTCGAGGCCGCCCACCACGCTCACTCGTCGCGCGCGAGCGCCTCCGCCTCCTCCAGCTCCTCGAGCTCCGCATCCTCACGCGCCGACTCCTCGTCGGCTGCCGCCTCCGCCGCGACGCGCGCCTCGTACTCCTTGAGGTAGCCCTCGCCGAGGTTGTCCTCCGGCTCGTACCAGACGAGGTCGGGCGGGAAGTCCTTCCACACGACGCGGTAGAGGACGGTGCCCACCTTGGCCTTGCCCTGGTTCGCATACGTCGCCTTGCCATCTGCAACCACCTGCATGCACACGGACGGGCGGGAGGCAGTGTGTGAGAGCGGGAGAAGGGGTGAGGGGAGGGGGAGGCATGAGCAGAGGGGGCAAAAATCGCACCTTGCCGACGATCGCCGAGACTTCGAAGTCATCCTGCTCCTCCTCGGTCCACTCGTAGTCCATGTAGTAGATCACGCCCTTCTTCTTCTTCTTCCTCTTGCCACCGCCGCCCGCCGACTTCTTCCGGATGCCGCGGCCGGTGATGCCCGAGTCGCCGTCCTCGAGATCGTTCGCCGCCGGGTCCGCCTCGAGCAGCAGCGTCTGCAGCTGGAGGAAGTAGGCCTCGCGGTTCGGCTGCGTCACCGTGAAGCCCTTCTTGCCCAGCAGCTTGTGCTTCCGCAGCTGGTCGACCAGCTCGTCGCCCACCATGCCCTTCAACTCGGAGTAGCGCGTCGCCAAAGGGATGGCCTCGAGCCGCGCCAGCTCCTTCTTCTTGGCCGCCTGCTTGGCCCGGTGGCCCTCGAGCTTGGCGTTGCGCTCCGTCGCCGCCGCCCGGCCTGCCGCGATGCGCTTCTCCGCCATCGTCTCCTTCATGCCCCGCCGGGCCAGCCGGCGCAGCATCCTCCACTCCTCCTCGCCCTTCTCGCGGCCGCGCATGAACTCGTGCGTGTTGTCCATCGCGCCTAGGATTGCGCCGGACCGCGTGTCGTCGCGGCAAGCGCCGGCACGCTGGTCGTGATCCCGCCCGAGCGCAAACGTGCGCTCGGCACTTGTGCTGGTCGTGGGCATGCCGCTCAACCGCTGCCGCAGCTCGTCCGTGATCTTCTCCGAGCAGAAGTTGCCGCCAGGGAGGAACTCAGAGGCGTGGTTGCGGGTGCCCTCGGCCATCGCGGTGAAAGCGGAGGAGAGCATCTTCTCGATGATCGTGTCGCCTGCCGCCTTCTCGCGGATCCGAGCAATGTCGATCGCGGCCCGCGTCGCCCGAGGCGTCACCTTGGCCTCGCGAGCGACGGAGAGGCTCAGCGTCAGCGACCCGTCCACCACCTTGCTCGGCGCGGCGGCGGCAGCCTCGAAGAAGGCGAGCGTCTCCGGCCACATCACGGGCAGGATGTCAAGAATGTGCGTGTCCGAGCCGATGGCGCGCAGCAGCTCCCAGAGCGCCGAGTCGCAGATGAGCGCCATCGCCCGGACCGCAGCCATGATGTAGTCGGAGCGGAAGCCCAGGAGGATGGACTTGCGCAGCTTCCCGCCCGCCTCCGCGCCCATGGTATCCTCCTCCTCGAGGAAGGTGAGCAGGCTGCCATCCTGCGAGAAGCGCTCTGTCACGGCCGCATTCATGAAGAAGACGTAGTCGCGCGAGCCGCAGATCGCGAGCAGGTCCTCCACCGACCCGAGCAGCTGGTCGTCCGGGATGTCGCCCTCCTGCGCGGCCAGCTGCGTCAGGATCCACTGGCGGAACTTGGAGCCGACGGCGTAGCCCTTGGAGGAGAAGAGGGCGGTGTACTTGACGGTCTGGTAGATGAGCGAGCACGAGGGGGAGCTGAACCAGCCGACGTGCGTGCGCATGTTCTTGATCTTGGCGGCGTCGGCCGCGCTCTGCTCCTCGGTGATGTTCATCGCCGCCTTGAGGACCTTGTCAATCTCCTTGCGGCCGCCCTCGAAGATGTTGACGATGCCGTGGTGCGCACAGGTCGGGCCGTCCTCGCCCTCTGCGACGCCTCGCACGAGACGCGCCGCCTGTGGGGTGATGGTGGTTTGGGGTGGGGGGGGCGTGAGCGACCGCTGGTGGAGCAGCGAGGGAAGCGAGGGTCGAGGGCGGCCGCAAGGAGATTGACAAGGTCCTCAAGGCGGGGATGAAGATCACCGAGGAGCAGAGCGCGGCGGACGCCGGCAAGATCAAGAACATGCGCACGCACGTCGGCTGGTTCAGCGCGCGCTCGTGCGCGCACATCTACGTCGAATTCGGGGGGGACGGGGGATCCAGTGGT